GTTAACTGCCCACCATTTTAATGGATCATCATTTAGTCCAATTTTTCTTTGTTGCAAATACAAATTTATCTCATCATTCTCTTTCTCTTCTAATGACACATCATCTTCTAATGCTTTAAAAATATCACTATCGTCTAATAATGATGGATTGCTAAATAAATTTTCATTATTTTTAGACGAAAGATCTTGTTTTATATCATTATATAACTCTCGAACTAATATTTTAGCTTCAACTTTACCATCTCCCTTAAACCATTCAAAAGTTTTAAAACATGGATCTAAAAGTGTTGCTACAAATATAATATCAGATGGAATTGTCCAAAGTTCATCCAAAGATAAAAAAATGACTGCACAAACTTTTTGAAGCAAATTACTAGTATCTACTGGAGGTAAATATTCTACAGTATTTATATCATATAAACTAATTTCATTTGAATTAAATGTTGAACTTCGATTTTTTCTTTTACTAATTTGCCTATAAACTTGTCCACTTTTATTTTTCTTATTTACCATTTGTTGATGAAAGTAACGATATGCATATTGCCAATGTTGTCTTGATCCACCTGATGGAATGTACTCATTATCACTAACTATATCATCATCTTCTTCTTCATTAATAATGGAACCATAAATTAATTCAAGGTAAGTATCAAAAGATTCTCCAATTTCTTCATGTGATGCAAAGGAATTTTTAAGTAAATACATATATAGATTAATAAGGCTAAGTGTTGGATAAATTGCACCACAAATTCGACGTGTCATACGTTTAAATAGCTCTTATATATTGATCATTTCTTGAAGAAATCTATTAAATTTTATTAAATAAATAATATTTTAATAAAAAAATTATATTATTTTATAAATAATTACTATTGATATATTTTTAAATTATATATTTTTCTAATTTATAAAAATATTTTATAAATAAAAATCATCTTACTCTTTTTCATTTAAATTTAAGCATAATCATTCTAACTTTTCACCTTCTCTTTGTGATATTGAATCAGATTTTGAAAGTAATTCAGCAGATACAAATTTCATTGAATTATGTAATTCTAAGACTCGTTTCCATGCATAATATGTAGAATTCCACTTAGTTTTTACATCAGTTAAGATATCAAGTTGATTTGTATGAATAAAGTATTTGATTGAGAATTTTGTTGTGCTTCTTGAAGTCGTTGAGCTTGTTTAGGTAATCGAAAAAAAGATTGTAAACTTTTTACTCTTCAGTGAAATGCTTTATATTGTTTTAAACCCTCTAATACGTAAAGTTGCAAAGTATGTGCAACACATGGTTAGCATTGAATTGAATTAATATAATTTTTACCTAATAAATGAATTACCTTTATCATGTTTGCTCCATTATCAGTTGCTATGGTAAAAGCTGTTGAAGTTAAATGCCATTCATTTAAAATTTGAAATAATTCATAACTTATGACTTCACCAGTATGAGGATAAGAAAGGTGATTACATATCAATAAAGCTTCTTGAAATTTAAAATCAGAAGTTAACCAAACTGCAGTTATACCAAAATAACCATATCGAGATTTTGCAGTCCAAAGATCAGTTGTTAAATGTACTGTTATCATAGTACTTCTTAATAGAGAATGAAGTTGATCTATGCTCCATGTATATGATGAATGAAGTATTCTTTTCATAGTTTTGTCACAAGGAATCTTAAATCCTGGTTCACATGTTAATAGAAGATCGCGAAAAGCATTATTTTGAAGAATATATAGAGGCTGAATATATTGGATAATAAACTTTGCAACTTTTTTTGTAATTATTTCTTGTCATTTAGGTGAACAAGAATTTGAATTACTTATAAAGTTTGTGATTTGAAGCTGATCTTTGTGAGGCTATTTAATAATAATAAATAAAAATTAATTATTCTATTCTTCCTTAAAAAATTATTTTTTATATTATTTAAGCA